CAGCTTGGGTGGGACAGCCATGGGCACAGTGGTTTATAGGACTCAAGATGGTTTGAGCACAAAAACCGACTTAACTCAAAGCACTCAAAGCAACTCATGCATGATAGCCAAAAGGCTCCGCCCAAACGTGTAGCGAAATGCAAATTTCACCCATGCTCGGGCAAAGGTCCGGGCGCTCTGTCTTCTCGTGGGCAAGAGGAGTCGAGAGAACGTGACCTCTAGGGAAGGGAACAACGTGACAGGAAAAGATGAGAGGAAGGGAACGTCAGAAAGGATGTTATATATATATATTTAATTTTTATTTATATTTATGTCTACATAAAAAGGAAACTATATATATATATATAGATATTTGCGAAAGCCAGCCGATAGCCTATAGGCGATGGGATCTCCACAGCAATCTTTGCTCGATGTTGGGCAATCACATTAAATGACTTCCATCGATCCGCTCATCACGCCGAGTGTATGACTCCATCTACAAGACAATATCAAACAGCAGGCAAGCGCCCCTCACTTCCTTAGCGGTGCCTTTTTCAGCTTGAAAACGTTTTGAGCCGGGGAAAGAGGGCACCCCCCCTCCCGAACAATGTATTCTGCTTTCTATTTCTACCACCAGTCAGCGTGGCTGCAAGGTCGCCCCATAACAAAGGTACTCTTTGCCCAAAGTTAGACGCGCCGAGTTTATGAGTCCATTTACAGGACAGTAATGACAAACAGCAGGCAAGCGCCCCTCAGTTCCTGAGGGGTGCCCTTTTTCAGCTTGAAAACCTTCGAACCAAAAGAAAGACGGCGCCCCCCCCAACCTATGTATTCTGATTTCTATTTCCAGCAGCAGTAGACTCAGTAGACGTCACTGCAATGTCGGCCCCCCCATAACAACAGCAATCTTTGCCCGAAGGTAAACGACAACCACATGATGTTGGCAGTAAACTTTCTTCGGTCCACACTTAGCAGCACGCCGACTTTATGAGTCCATCTACAAGACAAGACAAACAAACAGCAGGCGAGCGCCCCTCAGTTATTTAGGCGTGTTTTTATCATGAAACCGCCCTTGGAGCACACAGAGAACGGCCCCCCCACCCCCCCACCTGTGAATGAGAGCTTGTCATATCGGCCCTTACTGCGACTTTCCACCTTTGCCTTCTATTTCCCCATGCCTGACAGCAGTTCCAGCGCGCTCTCGAATTCATCCCCCATAGCCATATTGATGTCTTCTTACGGAGGCTGGTTTTTGCACCCCCCCCTTCTCAGGTATATATATATATATATTGTACATATTATGTACACATGCATTAAAGTACTTTGACCAGAATGCAGGGTTCTGCTGCCAGCGCTGCTGGCACATCTGCCACGCAGGTGCCGTGGTGGTTGCGGGTTCGTTGTGGCGGCCCCACAAGCAAGATCAAATGAACAATTTCCTAATTTTCATTTTAGGAACCTAGATTTGTTTTGACCAAACTGATTGCGCCACATGGCGGTGTCACAAACCTTAAGCAAGATCAAATGAACAATCTGCAAAGTGAGAAAGGTCAAAACTCACGTTTTCAGAAAAGACACAATTGTTTACATTTCCCTGAGCAAACGATAGTAATCCCAAAAGCGGTTGTAGAATGCTGTAGACATTTTGCCTTATGTCGATTGTTTATGCAACTCCTGTCCCAGCCGTAGAAGCTATTGTGATGCTTGAGTTTTTCCTGTTTGTAATGAAAGAGGTGCACATAGCTACGACTTCCAAAGGTGGGAACTTGCAATCGATCAATTGTATTTCTTTTCCCCGTTCACTCTTCGAACCTTGGTGTGGCCCGGCCAAAGCAGTTCTGCTTGTTTGAGATCTTGCATCCACTCTCAACCTTCGCAAGCCCACTGCAAATTTAGCGCTCACGGATGGGTTGTTTACTTTGCATGTACACGATGCCTCTCAAAATAAACGATAGCCATCCCAAAAACAATACTGTACCTACCTGAACACTTCCACCCAGGGGCCCCGTAGTTTTGCCGGTCGCTCTTATCTAAACTTTAAGAACTTGATTTGTTGACCAAACGGGTTGGGTTTTCCTACATTGTGCAGGCTGCAATGCGAAGTTGGTAATTACAAAATCACACATTCAGTTTGAACATGCAGGATTCAGCTGCTGGTCCATCAGCAAAATCGGAGGCACACTTGCCAGAAGTTGACGTCATTTTGACAACCTCGTGGTCCTTTGCTTGAGCTGTTCCTGAGGGCTGACTGGTGGGTGGGTGGTATATTTCAAACACGTCGTTGAATAAGTTACACATTCTTGGTAGTTTTGCGAGCTGCCTCCCTTCAAGTTTGATGGAGGCCTTGCCACCGCCACCACCTCCGACTGCAAAGGAGGCCAACTTAGTTGATTAGTTAGCAACATGTGAAAACATTCAGCATGGAGGACGGTGGTACTGGCTCAGTACCAATCGAACCCAAGGCAGGTGATGCTTGGAGTACTTTGGGTTAAACATTTAAAGAAGCCGAGCCAAACGAAAGATCTGTGGATTTCTGAAGGCTGTCAAAGCAGGTCGAAAGATTCCAGAAACTGCGGATGAGGCCGCGTATTGCTGTTTTCTCATTGTAGGGGATGACAAGCCCTCGAAGTCCTGACCCTCTAAGTGTAACACAAAGCGAGTTCCGCGCACGTCGTAGCGATATGGTGGCTACAATGCCCTCATGAACCCAAAAGCAATGGGAAAATCATGAAAATTCACAATGTGCATTCGTGATATTGACAACGGAGGAACGTCGTTCGCTTCGACCCATCTCTGACCGCATCGTGTCGATTGGAAATAAACTTCAAAATTCAGGCCCTTGCAACTTTTAGTCGCGATGTGGGCAGTAGAGGCTACAGAACATCCATGCTCCGTTTTGTCGTTCCGGCGCACGTACGAACTTGTTTCGCTCGATGTCCAAAGTCAACGGTGTTTGGATCATCTTGTCTTGAACTTCAGGTAGTCCAAAAACGTTTGTTGGAGTCGCTTGATCTTTTTCCAGATTTTCGAGTTCTTCCCTTTGCTTCTTCACATGTATGTTGGTCTCGATCATGAAAAGCAGTCGAGAGTTCCAACGTCGGTTCCACAACCGAATCTGGTCTGAGGCGCAATGGAGAGTGTCCTACAGCGAGAGTCGGTCCAATTTTCTTGAATGATGACACCTCGAAGTGCTGGGTCGATCTGGCGGTTGTCCATGTTGTTCACCACCTGCTGCAATGCTTTCTTCCAACGTCGCTGTTCAAGCTCGTTCTCCACACTCTCTTTGATTTGGCTCCATCTTGTCCATTCGGCGTCATTCACTTCTGGCTCATTGTTCACCGATGAACTTCCAGCATCACTCACTCTCTCATCCAGCGCACGCTCTTGTCCTCGAGGGACTTCGCCCTACTGTGTGCTGTCATCATTCTCAATCATGTCTTCATACTCAGGCTCTGCCTCATACTCAGGCTCTGCAGTTGCTTCATCGTTGATTATATTGATTGCACGCTTAAACACGAACTGGCCAAAGGTGGTCGCAAACAATCGCAAACATATAGATCTTGTTGAATTTGGAAAGGATTTCATGAGGTTGAGTTGAGGTCATGTGGCATCAGGCATGCTAGGACACCACGCTTTGAACTTGAGGCCCAAATCAAGGCATCGAAAAGGTGCTTACCGCGTTTCATGGTAGCGGAGCTCTGACGGGCAGCCCCCGTCAACTCCAGCGGAGACCCTTTTGGGGGAAGACCCACCGGGGATAGACGGTCCACTGAAATCCCGAGTGGACTAGTATCCGGGTCGCGCTCATGGGGGACACAGCCGAGCCCGACGGCACTGGTGGGGCTGCGGCTGCATCCAATGGTGGTGCCCTGGCTGGGGTGCAGGGGCTGGTCCAAGCCTTGCACGGCTTGATCGATGTCCAGAGGAGCACGGGGTTTACGAAACACTTGAAACCCCCTTCGGTGTTTGCCCCAGAGAACCGTGGTGACGAGCTCAACAAATGGATGGATTGGAGATTCCAGTTCGAGACCTTCATAGGAGCTGTTGACCCATCCATGCTGTCCCACATGAAGCAAGCCGAGAAAGAAGAGAATTCGATCAACGATGGACTTCCCTCGGTCAGGCCCCAGTCAGAAAGATTGTACTCCCTCCTGACAGGCCTCATGAAACAGAGACCCCTTCGACTTGTGAGAGGTGTGGCCAACCAGAATGGTCTCGAGGCCTGGAGAGTGATCACCAAGGACCTTCAACCTAGGACAAGGCAGCGCTCACTTGCACTCATCCAGTCCTTGAACAAGATCCAGTTCGATGGGACGAAGACTGTGACCGAGCAGCTGCCACAGTATGACTTGATGGTCAGGGAGTATGAGCGCAGTGCAAACGTTACGTACCCGGACGACCTAAAGATTGCCTCGGTGTTGTCAGCCCTTCCGTCCACCCTCAGGCTTCACATACAGATGACGCTGCAAGATGACACTACGTTTGAGGATTTGAGGCAGCGGATTGAGATGTATGAGCAGGTGAGTCAACGATGGTCGAGCGATGGAGGCCTGCAGATGGGTGTGAAGCCTTTGATGGATCAAGGTGACCAAGGAGGACCCATGGAGATCGACGCCGTGTGGTCGAAAGGAGGCAAGAAGGGTGGCAAGAAAGGGAAGAAGGGCAAAGATAAAGGAAAAAGTTCAAAGGGCAAGACTTCCTGGTCCAAAGATGGAGGCAAGAAGGGCGGCAAGAGTTCGAAGGGCTCAGGAAAGCAAGATGGCAAGAAAGGCAAAGGTGGCAATGGAGTGTGCCACAACTGTGGCAAGCCTGGGCATTTTGCTCGGGAGTGCTGGAGCCCGAAACGTGTGAACAAGGTGGAAGATCAAGAAGGGCAAGAGTTGAACAAGACCACATCAGCCGGACAGCACGGTAAGGATCAAGGCCAGACGAGTGGGGCGTCAGCTACTCCATCCTCCCACTCTACTTACAGAGCAGGAGTCAGGAGGGTGAGATTGGTCACGCCGACCGGACTGGCTACAATGGAGATCTTCGACCTGACGCAGGACGACTCTCCTGAGGAGCTGATGGCGGAGGAGGATGATGATTTAGGCCTACAGGTGATGGCCATCCGGGAGTGCGATGAGGATCCGGATGAGATGGAAGAGATCTTCTACGAGTGCCAGAGTGGCGATGAGAGCGCGCCGACAAGGACTTCATCGATGGAGAACACAGGAAGTGATGCCCTGCGAGCCCAATCCGAAGATGTCACGGGCCAAATTCAGAATGTGTGCATGGTGAGGGACGAGACTCCCAACGTCGTGATGACGCTTGACTCGGGAGCGGATGTGTCAGTGGCACCAGAGCAGTACTACGCCCTGGGACTACCTGGTCAGCAACGTTCCGTTTGCATGATGGATGCTCAAGGAGGTGCAATCAAGAGCGCTGGAAATAGGCGACTTCGACTTCAAGCCTACACCAGAGCAGGCGAGATGGTGGAGTTCGTGGAACAGTTTGCGCTGGGTGTAGGTGTGACACACCCCTTGATGAGTTTCGGACGGTTGCTCAAGCAGGGCTGGGTACTATCTCGAGACAGCCAAGGTCTCTATGTGGAGCACAAGGAGAAGGGTTTGATGATCCCAGCTCGGCTTGAGCGGAATTCGTTGGTCATGGATGTGAGAGTTTGTGCAGTCCGAGCTGAGGACAATGAGATGCAAGAGATGGAGGCCATGGTTTCGAATGATAGAGACAGCCGTGAGAATGCCCTGAAGCTGGCAGCGGAAACCCATTTCGTGGATAGAGGAGTGAAGAGAAGTGTTGAGGAGAAAGAGGAGGACAAGAAGAATGAGGAAGAAGACCAGCAGATGCTGGCCTTGATGCAGGAACTGTCTCAACAGGTGGAGCCAGATGCCTCAGCAGATCGTGTCGAGGAAGCCCCTGCGAAGAAGCTGAAAGGTGAAGAGGTTGAGGATAGCCAGAGATCGCCGGGCTATACTACAGAAGAGTCTGGAGATGTCATTGTGGAAGCCAGCAGCAGTGAAGATGGAAGAGTGCAAGCTCGCATGGCAAGGTGGCAGAATTGGAAACTACGGACAGGCATGGTGAAGGAGGAGCCCATGGAGCTATCTGACAGCCCAGTGGCAGAGGTGACGGACGACAATCGGGTGTTTCCTGTCCGAAGAGAAGCAGCAAGTTTGTACGGGTTCATCTCGAGAGAACTGGCGTTGCTGGAAAGGATGCCTGGCTGGCATGCTCTACCCAATGGCATCGTTGTCCACTCCAGTCCACAAGCAACTCATTTTCTGGACCCCAGTCTCTCCTTTGGTCCAGAGTGGTGTGGACGGATGACATTGTTGAAGAAGAAGGACAACAGTGGAGCATGGGAGCAGGTGGAGAGCTTGGCAAACTATGTGGACACCCCGTTGCCCTATCGACCACTGCCAGGAGGACCTCGTGCAGCTTTGACATTCGTTGCACCGGGGTTGATCCGTGACTACTTCGTGATCAGCTCGGAGGTCCCAGTGAGCCAGTATCCCTTGTTGAGCGGGGAGCCATCCTCGTGGCCGGACGATGAGAGGGATGAAGAAGGAGGTGAATTGCCAATGCTGGCCGCTGGAAGTGGCGGACGACCAGAGATCGTGGAGGATGTTGCCTTTGTGGACCCTGATGAACTGAGGATCCAGATAGATGAAGCCTGGTTTGACAAGGAGACAAAGTTGAAGGATTTGCAAGAGGTTTGCAAGCAGTTGGGCTTGGCAACATCCGGTTCCAAGATCAAGGTGTTGCGGCGACTCCAAAGCTACAAGCACCACCAGGAAGAGAAGATGGCATATGAGGTCGCTCAAAGATTGTTCAGTGAGAGCAGACGAGAGGCCATCCCGCTGTCAACACCAAAGCTGCCAAGCCGTCATGAGCAAGAGCTTCATCAACTCACGCACCTGCCTTTTCAGTCCTGGTGTCAGCAGTGCGTCGCTACTCGGTCGAGAGAGGATCCCAGGACAAAGGAGGATCAGACTGACCGGAAGGACCGAGGAAGACCCGTGATTAGCTTTGACTACGGGTTCACATACACCACTGGTGCTCCTGAAGATCGACAGTGGGGCACAGCTTTGTATGTGGCGGAATCAGAGTCCAAAGCCACCATGTGCATCCCAGTTCAAGCAAAGGGGAGTGCCTCGTTGAAGCAAGTGACGGAAGAGCTCACCAGATTCAGCATGCAGGTTTGCAATACACAACCCATCATTTTCCAGTCTGATGGAGAAAGAGCTACACGCCAGATCCTGAGGGCCATTCAGCATGCACGAGCTACACTTGGCCTGACCACGGAGATCAGAACAACATCCCGAGATCAGCATGCATCCAATGGCCAGGCAGAGCGGACAGTGCAATCGGTGAGAAGGTTGGCGAACACCCTACGCCAATTCGCGGAGGAAAAGACCGGAGTCAAGCTGACTGGAGATATGCATTGCTATCCGTGGAGTTTTCGACATGCTGCATGGCTGATGCTCAGGTACAGGGTGATCAATGGAGCCACGTCCTTTGAAGTGTTGACAGACAGGCGCTATGTGGGCAAGGTAGCTCTCTGGGGAGAGACAGTGCTCTTCAAGGATGTCACAGCTTTCAAGCACAAGGGTGAGCCCGTGTACAGGAAAGGAGTATGGGTCGGAAAGAGTTCCTGGAGCGACAGTCACATCTGCTTGACACGGAGTGGTGCAGTTGAGGCTCGATCTATTCGACGCCTACCCGACCAGTTTGACGGCCAAATGTTGATCAACTGCCGAGGTCTTCCATGGCAGTACTCTGTGCAAGGCATCCTGATGAAGACAAAGTTTGCAGCACGCCAACGGCTGGCAGATGCGGCAGAGGATGCAGTGGGCGACGAGCAGGTGGAGAAGGAGGCCAAACTGGTCGGAGAGCAAGTGGCTGTTGGCATGTATGGTCATGGACCCATTGCAGGACCAAACACACCAGGTGTTCCTCCAGATGGGTACCCGAAGACTCCAGGTAGGACGCCCACGGCACCAACTCCGGCACCAAGGACAACAGCAGCGCGAACACCAACCATTGTGCCGGTTCCCGCAACACCAGCAACAGCAGCTGCACCCAAGACACCAGCGAGGCGTGCACCGGCAGGTGACCATAGCAGCAGACCGTTGGTACCTCGAGAACTCCCTCGAATCCCACTGGCAGCAGATGATGATGATAGCCCAAAGAGAAAAGTGGTAAGGCTCCCAATTCCCGAGGCCATGAGAGGAGAGCCAGCAAGGAATTTCCCACCAGGACCTCACGAGGTGGAGACAAGTCCAAAGAGGCAGAGAATGGAAGAAGTTGTTGGAAACCTTGCACCAGTGACACCCCCACTTGGAACGAAGCGAGAGTATGCTCTGCCTTGGGACGATGAAGATGATGAGAAGCGGAGGATGAGCCCAAAGAGGAGAATCCAGAGTGTCCAAGAGGAATTTCCTGGCGGAGATGAGATGGTGGCCGAGGAGGTGTTGCAACAGCAGCTCAATAATGCCAGTGATGATGAGGACGTCGAGGTGAGCAAAGGAAAGCCTCCGGAAGTCAATGAGGAGGAGCTGATGAAGCTAGATGCGGAGGCATGCAAGCATGAAGAAGAGCGCCTTGAGAAGATGGGTGTTCTTGAGAAGCTGAAGGAAGGAGAAGTTGCTGACGAGGATTCGTATGTCCTGACGTCGAAGATGGTCATCACTTGGAAGCACCGAGACGAGCAAGGTGGCTGGTTTAGAAGAGCACGCCTGGTTGGGAGACAGTTTAAATGGTCAGTTTTCACAGAGGACGCCTTCGCTCCTACATCAGCTTCAGTGGTGGTAAGAATGCTCCTTCGATTGCAGATGAGGACTGGTTTGGCCCTCTACACGTTGGACGTGAGGGATGCATTCCTGCTCATGGACCAGCCTGAGGATGAGAAGGCGATGATCGTGACCGAGAACGGTACCTACAGGCTGAAGAGAAACCTCCCTGGTCAGAGAAATGCTGCGGCCCAATGGTTCAAAGGATTCTGCAAGGTAGCAAAGGAGTTCGGACTGGTCCAGGATGTGATGCAGCCCACGATGATGAAGAAGCCTGATGGTCCAAATGAGATGAACGAGAACGGCAAGCTCTATCTGACCATCCACGTGGATGACTTGCTGTTGATTGGGCACGAAGCTGAAGTGGAAAATTTCATCAAGTACATGGACACTAAAGGCTGGAAAACGGAGAAACGTGGGCCATTGTACTCAGGGAGCTTCAACTACCTGAAGAGAGAGATGGAGCTGATCGACAAAGGCATCACAATCCGACCGGACAAGCAGCACATCAAGGAGCTTGCGCGATTGACAAAGGTCGAACAAAGGAAATGCAGGTCTACGCCCGGAGATGGCAACTTCACCAAGCTGAGCAAGGATGACGACCCTTTGGACTACAGCGAGATTACCATCTACCGGAGTGCAGTTGGCAAGTTGCTTTACATTGCCCCTGATCGACCTGATGTGCAGTACATTGCCCAAGGCCTGGCAGCATTCATGCAAAAGCCCACGAAGAAGAGCTGGCAGGCCATGAGACATGTCAGCTCGTACCTGCTTGGTACGGTGGACGAAGGCCTTTTGTTTGAGCATGGACCCAAAGGCCGAAGCATGCTGAACACCGAGGAGAACGTCTACGAGTGGGACATCAACGATGAGGTGAAGAGCATGCTGGAAGTGGTGTGCGATGCTGACTATGCAGGGCAGAGAGACAGCAGGAAGAGTGTGAGTTCAGTCCAGATCTATTTGGATGGATGCCTCCTGGAGAGCTACGTGAGGACTCAACGATCCATTGCCTTGTCGTCAGGAGAGAGTGAGTATGTGGCAATGGTCGGAGGCTGCAGTGAGGGACTGTTCATCAAGCATTGCTGGAAGTTCCTGACCAACGAAGATCTGGAGATGGTATGCCGAAGTGACTCATCGGCAGCTCGCTCTTTGGCTGGCCGAGTTGGTGTTGGAAGGACGCGACACATCGCAGCAGGACTCCTATGGTTGCAACAGAAGGTAGGGTCCAAAGAGCTGAGAGTTACTGGAATTCCCACGGCAGTCAACACCAGCGACATCGGCACGAAGGTCTTGAGCAAAGCAAGGATGAGTGGATTGAAATACCTCATCAAGATGATCAATGGAGACGATGAGAAGATTGGCTATGCCGAGTACCAGGAGATAAAGATGAAAGAGGACCTGAAGAAGAACACCGGCAAGCTAGCGAAGACCCTCGGAGCAAATGCAAGAGTTGCAGTGGTGATCGCATTGTCTCTACTGCAAGGGGGTCAAGGGGCAGACACTCAGGAGCATGAGACAGAAGAGAATGAAGGCACGGACACATGGTGGGTTCGGCTGCTGATCACTATGATCTGTTTGGCAAGTGTTGGGGCCTTGAGCTTGGCACGGCTGACTTTGCAGGCAGTGCAGACATGGTGCAGCAGGAAACGAGGCCATCGACAACCCGTGCAACGACGTGAAGAAGAGGAGGATGCGGATGACCCGCATGTGAGAAGAGGATTGCAGGAAAGCACCGACCAGCATGAAGAGCCACACTACGAGAATGACCTTGAGAAGGTGAACATGCAGTGGCAAATAGTTCGCCTTGAGGTAGTGGTGGCTGAGCAAGAAGAAAGATTGAAGGAGGCTCGAGAGGAGCGTGACCGACAAGCACGAGAAGTGGTGAGAATGTATGACATGTGCTCTGAGCTGCGATTTGAGCTCGAGGCGGCGAAGGAAGAGAAAGAGAAGGCCCAAAAGAGAGCCATTCAAGTGGCTGGGACTGATGATGAACGAGCACGAGAAATGGAAAGCATGGCAGAAGAAGTGGCCCGAGCATGGGAAGTTGTCGAAGTGTGGAAGAAGCGGGTCACGGAATGCCAGAGACAAGAACAAGATGAACTGAGAGATCGCCTTGAGGAAGTAAAGTTCACCCTAGATCGCAAGCTTTGGCACATCGGTAAGACTAGTTCGTGTTATCACGAACATGGGTGCGGACATCTTGTGAATAGCACGAGTGTCCGAACACTAAAACCATGTGCACATTGCATTCCTGATGCCATGGGGACCGTGTTGAATTTGGAAAGGATTCCATGAGGTTGAGTTGAGGTCATGTGGCATCAGGCATGCTAGGACACCACGCTTTGAACTTGAGGCCCAAATCAAGGCATCGAAAAGGTGCTTACCGCGTTTCAGATCTTGTAAGTCACATACTGCAAACCAATGAAAGAGAAACATACCAAGACCAACAAAGTCCACCACAGTCGTTCGTCGTTGATCACCTCATCAGGTCCAATTCTCACAGCTTGAGCCCCTACTTTGCTCATTGCCTGTGTTGTCAATGTTGCCACTGCCACTTTTGCAGCCTTCTCCCAAAGATCTTCTTGAAGACCTCGGCGGTTGTAGTCCTTGTAATAGTGTCGTCGACTGCAGTACCAATGATTGTCTTTTCCTTCCGTCAAGAACTTTCCACAACATGGCAGCTGGCAAATCCCTTTTGGGACCTCCGTGACCTCCAAAACATCTTCAAAAAGTCGTAGGGCAGCTTCATTTTGCTCCTTCTCTTCATTTGCCTTGACCTCTTTGGAGACTTTCTTTGCAGCTGTGAAGTTGGGATCATACCGAAGTGCATGCACTCCTCGCTGGAGGATGTGGGCGGACTGGTCTTTTGCACTCGGCTTGGTTCAACCTGCTGAGTGGAATTGACCCACTTCAGGTAGCCCAACATGGCGTTGAGCCTCTCCTTCACGATGCAGACCTCAATGGCTGTCCGCTCCTCGGTCAAACGAAGTCCTGCCGACGCTGACCGAGCTGAGTCAAACAACGATTTTGCGTCCGTCAATGCAGGAGTCTGTCCAAACATGCGCAAAGTGGATTCTTCAGCTACTATATCGGCAGTGTGGGACAAACCATAGCTGCAGCATAGATCTTTGTCCATTCGGTCTTGTCGATGGCTCTTCTGCTGGCAACGATGAACGACACATTCTTGTTAGCTTCTTTGAATGCCAACTCACCAATGTCAAAGTGAAAGGTTTGCCGTCACACATTTCAGCTTCTGTCCCAACCCCTTGGGATGCTCCATCAGGCCTGATTCTCCAACTGGCGTCCATGTAGACTCCAAAATGAAGCTCCGACAAGGAAGGTCCATCACATCGAAGTGTCATGCTGTATCCTTGCACCACCTCCTTGGCAAATCGCAAGAGCTTGTTTGCCACGTTGATGTCATTGACTGTCGGGGAACGGGATGATGCCTGTAGCAAGGAATCGGAGCTGACAATTGCGGCAAACATTGTCCAGCTGGCCACGCTAAAGCTCCGATCAATGCCCTCAACATCTTTCACTTCTTTCTCCTTTAGTGGTGAGTCGCTCATTGTTTTCCGACTCTTGTCCAGAGTGATGGGCTTGATTTTGTGGGCATACTTCTTGAGTGAAAAGGTGACTGTTCCACAAAAAAGGATTAGCGAGTTTCGTCCAAAGTCCCAGGAGCCAAAGCGAAAATTTGTGGCCAACATCTGCAATCGTTTCTTGAAGAACCACTGAAAGTTTTCAGCTTTATATAGTGGTGACAGCTCCTGTCGCATCTTCAACAGAACTCACTCCTTCTCTGCAGCGGCGTCCGCCTCGTTTTGGAACGCGAATTTATCTCATTTCGGAACGCTGTTTTTGGATCGTTTTGGAACGCGGTTCCCGGTTGGTTTCTGGGGAGTGGTTTCTGGGGAGTGGTTTCTCGCGAGTGGTTTCTGGGGAGTGGTTTCTGGGGAGTGGTTTCTGGGAAGGGGTTTCTGGGAAGGGGTTTCTGGAAGCGGTTTCTGGGGAGTGGTTTCTGACGAGTGGTTTCTGGGGAGTGGTTT